AATGCAGTGAGGTTATGAAATATTTTTGACATTCCAAGATGCATTATTTGTTACCTTTAAGATCGATCAGTACTCGCCAGGCTAATTAGTAAATGAAAAGTAATTTTCGTACCTGGTGGAGTGGGTGAGGTTGGTGATGGTGGTGTCGTTGTGAGGCCTGAAAGGAAAGGCATAACATACAGAGTGTTACATTAATTTATTCCTATCATGAGAAGCATTAAAATTCGATTTTAAACTAAAAGCAGTGAATTGCAGAGGTGAAGAAATTGTTCCCCGTTTATTCCCAAATAAAAAATAAACAAGTAAAGAAAAGAAAAAAGACAATGACATATTTTTTTTGAATTCATAGCATGGATTCTATATTATCATGGTCCACCAGTGTTTACAGCTACAGGAAATACTCGTCATTTCGCGACGTTTCCAGTGGTTTCCCTAAGGAATGTAGAAACTCCATGGTGATGATGTGTCAGATCTGTGTAGTACTTCTGATGGTCGAAATGAAGGGAAAGCAGCAATGATGGCGTCGGGAAATATCATGGGCGGTATTCTCAGGCTACTGCATTGTTTAGAGCCATCGTTGTTTGTTTTTGTTTGAGTTTTCCGCACATTAATGACGCAATCCCAAAGAAGAAACAATTTTTGCTGATAATTTGCTGAAACACGGCCTATAAACAAATTCACCCAAAACCAAGCTGAGATTTCTTAAGCAGCCAAAAGCACCTCATTTGCCTGTTTACCAGATTCACAAATTGTTAATATCACAAGCGCTAGCAGAACATTACAGAGGACAGAACAAAATGCTTCAGCGTAAAGGATTAAGTCCGAAGCAATAGAAGAACGGCAAAGGTTTTGACCCACACCAACGATAATCCAAATTTTCGCCAAAGGTGTCCTCAAGTAAAATTTAAACAAAGTTAACCAAACTCTTGCATGGGCAGCTTTTGTATGGTGCACCTTCAATAATAGTTGTCCCAAAAACATGAGAAGGGGAAAAAAAAGCTCACCTTCATTATCACCGCAGTAACGCAGCCAACAAACAGGAGGCTTAACTAACCGATACACGTAGAAAGCACCACAGTTTTGGATCTGAATATCGTTTTTCCAGTTGCAACATCTAGAACGCCAATGATAACAAACTCGACGAGTAACAATGCCTTCTCCTACTGATGGGTGGGAACCGTTCAGCCAGCCCGGAGCATGCGTGCCACAACGTCGTTTTGGTACACAGGATGTTGGCATTCTGTCGCCAGCTTCGCCAGTGAAGCGATACCAGGCTGGCAAAGGATGCAGGTGTCTCTGGTCACATCTCAGGTTCTTTTGATCTGTATTTGCCACACTACGGTTAAACCCGTCAAGAACATGATAGTTGCTGCATGGATTTGGTGCTAAAGAGAAATAGTGAAGATTTCAGTCCACTCGCTGGTGGAAGCAGCAAGACCAAGATAACAAATAAAACGTTTATTAATAATTAAAAAAATCGGCAACAATATACATGAACCATAACAGAATAAAACAAATAAATAAATACAAACTAACTTTATTGATGGTAATATTCGGATTTCTAAGAACTGTTAAACCTGCAGCCATCTTAAAAGTAATTAAAAGTAATAATAAGGATTTTAAGAGATAATACAATTACTGGAAATTCTATTAGTTTCATTGTGGTCCAGATACAAAAATAAAAATATGAAAAAGTACAAAACAACAAAAGCAATAAAAACGTCAGAAAAGAGATAACAAATCAGTAATAATATAAAGACATTATAAGTTAATGCTAAAATGGTCATTTTCAAAATTACGGTCAAATAAACTGTTTATGTAATTCACTTATAAATTTGGGCCTATAACTTAGACCCACCCCTAATGTTTCTAGCTAGGTTATTGCAAAGTCTGGGACCACTTGCAAGAAATGTACGTTCACCAGTCTTGGTATTAAAAAAGCGACAGATATTTCCATACTAGCTGACGCTCTAGTTCCGTAATTATGTCTGGTATGTACGTAGCAAATATAATGATCGAAATAATCATGACATTAAGCATAATATTAAAAATAATAAAAAGTTTCCTAAATTCTATGGTATGATCAATTGGGATCCAGCCCAGCTTGTTATAAGGATCAACTGAGCTGGCATAAATGTTTGTGTCCAAAATTAACCTTGCTCAACATTTTTGAATTCTGAGGAGCCTTATTAAATTATCATTCGTAGTGTTTCCCCACACAGAGCAGCAATATTCTAATATTGACGTAATCAAAGCATTGTAAAATAATTTCCTAAGCAGAAGAGGCAGGTATTTTTTCGCCCTCTTAAGTAGGCTGAACCTCGAAATTAATGTAGTGATCGTATAATTAAATATGATTAGACCAGTCAAGAAGCCTGTCTGGAATCACGCCAAGAAACGTTTCATCGACAGCTACTTTAATTTTGGTACCTCGCAAAAAAAGATTCAGCTCCAAATTCGCACAATGAGAAATCTATTTTTTCTTGGTACTCTCGTTTACCTAGAAGCTCTTTTCAGATGGAATTTCAATTTTGAAAAGCTGGTTTAGGAAAGTAGGGACCGGAGTATACAAAGAAAAACCTCTGGAATCAGAGAGGAGACCCAACAACAAACTCAATTTACGTATGGCGTGGGCACCGAGATTTTATTCTGGGGCACAGCAATCTTTCACAACAACCAACCCTGATCCCCCGAAAAAGGCCGGAGAAAAACTAGACTAAAACAGAGATAGCTTAAACCTACGCTTATTCTTTAAATGATTAGTCAAATATGCACATGATAAACTATAAATTTGTACTAGCAACAGAATGTTGTGGCCTTTATTAAAAAAGGTATAGTGTTGTTTCTGTGAGACCATATCATGTCCTTTATACCTGGTGTTGTTGTTGGTAGAGGTGGTGTCGTTGTCGGTGGTGGAGGCGTTCCTGAAAAACATTGCAGACGTAAGATATTAAAGTATGGTGCCTATGTACAATAGCGCAATAAAAAGTTTGAAATAAGAAACAGTGGTTTTAGATCATCGAAACCCCGTAATAGTTTTCCTTTTTTGAAAACGTCTACAAGGTTTAGGTTTTTCCTTATTCTATATATATAGCACCTGAATCCCTTTGAGTCTCCATCGCGGACAGTTATCTTGGTTCGGCAGATAACAAACGTCTTAAATACCACCCTTGATGAACTTGGTTCTGTCCCTTCAATTAAGGTGGCTGAACACAGAGTTGCGGGCCGTCAGCGGTAACTCACGTGACAGCGTGTGTTTTAAATTACACAAACAAACATGGCGGCGAAAATAGCAATGGTACACAGAAGACGATTTCTCATTCTTCTACTCATTAAAATTTTTGAGATATTTAGCAGAATTCTTACTTTTATCGTATTCCAAATAATGAGAACGTTAGAAATGAAGTTGAACAGACAAATTTTGTAACACATTTAGTAATTACAGTACAATTATATAATTAATTATCTAAAAATCCGTCTGTTAAGACTTTATCAAATAAATTTCAAATGGTAATGATTATCGTATGTTGTGTGCAAGTTTATAGGAAAATCTAATGAGTGAATTTTATGTAAACTGAGCAAAATTAAAATTTCAAGGCTGTACTCAATCGAGAACGGCACATTTTACCTGCCAATCAAAATCTTATATCAGTATATTTTTCACTTGCCAAGGTTCAGTTTGTGAGATGCAACCTTTCTCCTGCCATAATTTGGCAAATACATATACCCACAAACTGCCAAAAACTGTGTTCAGCCACCTTAATTCCCTCCAGAAGGTTTGGCTTAACTTAAAGACCTCTTCCAACAACAGGCAAAGAAGGAAAGCAAAACTCACCTGCATTGTTACCGCAGTAACGCAGCCAACACACAGGAGGCCTAACTAACCGATAAACGTAGAAAGCACCACAGTTTTGGATCTGAATATCGTTTTTCCAGTTGCAACATCTGGAACCCCAATGATAACAAACTCGACGAATAACAATGCCTTCTCCTACTGATGGGTGGGAACCGTTCAGCCAGCCTGGAGCATGCGTACCACAACGTCGTTTTGGTACACAGGATGTTGGCATTTTGTCGCCAGCTTCTCCACTGAAGCGATACCAGGCTGGCAAAGGATGCAGGTGTCTCTGGTCACATCTCAAGTTCCTTTGATCTGTATTTGCCACACTACGGTTAAAACCGTCAAGAACGTGATAGTTGCTGCACGGATTTGGTGCTAAAGAAGAGAAGGGATAACGTTACCTCAGCCCGACAAAGAAAGCAACAAGACTGTTGTTACAAGTCAACCAGTTATCTGTAAATACAACAATACTACTGGAGACACTGTACATATCAAATTTGGAATTCAACCAGGAGTGTGTTAATGTGTGATGAGGGAAGAAAACCTGGGTATTTTGTGAAACTTGCATGGCCGCAAGCAAAGGGTGATATGCAATAACAAGTGCTCTAGCTGGTCAACGGTACGATGTGGCGTTCCACAGGGAAGTCTCCTTAGTCCTCTACTATTTAACATCTTTATGAGCGACATAAACGAAACTGTCACCGTTTCTTCCAAGTGCTCCGCCTCTATGCAGACGATAAAACTCAATATACTACGGATTATAGCCCAGTTGTTTCTCAACACTTATTAAACCATGACATGGAAAAACTATCTTCCTGGTTTGCCTCTAACTATCTACAGGTTGATGAGGACAAGACCCAGGCGATGATCCTTGGGAACTCATCCTATCGATACGACCTGGAGTTTGCCGGCACTCCCATTGATATTAACAACCATTTAAAGATCCTAGGAATATGTTTAGATAACAAATTATCTTTTAAGGAACATATAAGTATCATGCTGAAGAAAGTATATTCCAAGATAGGCGCACTTCGCCGCCTTAAGCGTTTAGTACCGGCAAATACTATGTTGCTTCTTTACAAGAGCTTTGTGTTATCACATTTTGAATACTGCAACTCTTTACTTTTGGGTATAGGTAAAACACTTAACAAGAAACTGGAAGATGCGAACTATTATGGTCTACGAACTATAATGAACATGGGGAAAAGTACCGATTATGAATTAATTCTTAGGATGGCAGATATGAATACCTTGGAACATAGACGCATAGAACAATCCTTAATAATATTTTTTAAATGTTTCAAGGAGAATGGTCCAGGCTATGTAGCCAATTTATTCAAACCCCGAAATACACCATATAATCTTAGAAGAAATGGTCTGAATGTTGTTCAAATTTCATATAATAGTAGATTCCTTCATGGTTCATATGCGTACACGATCTCGCACATCTGGAACCAGTTACCATTGTCTGTAAAAAACGCACCTAATGCATCATCCTTTCGGAGACTTTTAACTAAGTTAAATTTTATCGGCTGTCAATGCAGCAATTGCCTTTGACCCGATTTATTTTTATAGATAGATGTTATTATTTTTTTTAATTTAATTAGTTGCTATTGAGATATTAATTAATTAATGTTTCTTTTATATTGTCAAACAGTTTTATCATGAGCCCGTGGCTCGGGGGATTGGGAGACCACCCCCTGTGTATCTGACATTAAATAAATTATCTTATCTTAAAAACCTCTCAGAACAGAGAAGAAAACTAAAAACAAACTCAATCCACACAATGAATTGACGCCAGGATTTGAACCAGGCCACACTGGTGGAGGCCGATAGTTCTCTTTCCTTTCCCGAACATTGCTGAAAACAGGATTTCAGAAAGAGAGACCTTTCGCGGACATTTAATCTTTTACAAGATAAATCAAATATCTGTATCGTCAAAACAATACACATATTAAATAACTAAATGTTGTATCTTTAAAGTAAAATTTTGTTTGTGAATAAACATGTTCTATCTTTCATACCTGGTGTCGTTGTTGGCAGAGGTGGTGTCGTTGTTGGTGGTGCAGGTGTTCCTGAAAAGTTTACAAATATACAAACGAATCAAACTCAAGTATTTTGCATTGTTACAGTTTAGTGCTTTAAAGTAACTAAAAGCAGGTTTAGGCTATTGAAGTTCTTTTAATCTTTGGACATTTTTAATTCACATATTTTTGGCTCTGACTAGATTTTTAATTTGACCTATCACAACGGACTGAATGACTCTTTTTGCTATGAGGTTCTTTCCTTCATTCTTTACAAACAGTTACAATTCATTTCAGTTCAGTCTAATTATCGGTTACTAAATTTTACTATATTTTACTTTACATTAAAACAGATAAAAATTTTAACAAAAGGGAAAAAAACAAAGGAAAAAGAAAAAAAAAACAAAACAAAAGAAAGACAAAGTCCACAAAAGGACTAAAATGACAATGACAAGAAAGTTGCATGCCTTTTGGTCCTTCTTTCCCCATCTGCCCGTCTCTTATCTGCACCTTATTTAGTTGTTTAGATTAAATTATTTTTCTGAGCAACATTGTTCCAAAGTAGCCCATTTCTTACTGAGGGAGGCAAAGTTAGTATAATTATCGATGCCACGCAAAACTTACTATAGCTAATCATTTTGTTTTTCCTTGTTCCTCAAGATCTAATCGTTTTAAAATTCAAAAAAGCAAGCAAAACGATTTAGTGTGTTAACAATGCCAATCCGTCAAAAACGTCTTTACAGACTTCTCCATAATCATACACCTCTCTATACTATCGCCCTTTATACGGACAAACTTGCTACTTTCAACTAATTCACATTAGAGAGCTTTGATTGTAGATGAAAATCGTCTCCAAAAACATTTAGAAGTAAAAAAGAAACAACTAAATCTCACCTGCATTGTTACCGCAGTAACGCAGCCAACACACAGGAGGCTTAACTAACCGATAAACGTAGAAAGCACCACAGTTTTGGATCTGAATATCGTTTTTCCAGTTGCAACATCTGGAACCCCAATGATAACAAACTCGACGAGTAACAATGCCTTCTCCTACTGATGGGTGGGAACCGTTCAGCCAGCCTGGAGCATGCGTACCACAGCGTCGTTTTGGTACACAGGATGTTGGCATTCTGTCGCCAGCTTCGCCAGTGAAGCGATACCAAGCTGGCAAAGGATGCAGGTGTCTCTGGTCACATCTCAAGTTCCTTTGATCTGTATTGGCCACACTACGGTTGAAACCGTCGAGAACGTGATAGTTGCTGCACGGATTTGGTGCTAGAGAGGGAAAGGGATAACGTTACCTCAGCCCGACAAAGAAAGCAACAACATTGGTGTTACAAGTTAACCGTTTATCTGACAGATACAAGACACTCCTGGAGACACTGCCCACACCAAAACTAGACTTAACCATGCATGTGTAAGTGTATGAGAAGAAAACCCGAGTATTTTGTGGAAACGTCCCAAAGCAGGAAAGCAAACTGACAACAAACTCAACCCACACAATGAATTGACGCCAGGATTTCAACCAGGCCACACAGGTGGAGGCCGATATTTCTCTTTCGTTTCCCGAAAATTGCTGAAAACAGGGTTTCACACAGAGAGATCCTTCACTGACATTTATTCTTCAAAAGACTAATCAAATATCTACATCTTCAATAAAAAAAATGCTCAGATTAAATAACTGAAGGTTATGTCTTGAAAGTAAAATTTTGTTTGTGAAAGAACATGTTCTATCTTTCATACCTGGTGTGGTTGTTGGCAGAGGTGGTGTAGTTGTTGGTGGTGGAGGTGTTCCTGAAAAGATTATAAATATAAAAACAAATCATACTCAAACATTTTGCTTCGTCGTTAAAGTTTAGTGCTTTAAAATAACCAAAGGCAGGTTCAGACTATCGAAGTTCCTTTAAACTTTTGACGTTTTTAATCCCCACATTTTTGACCCTGGCTAGATTTTGAAATTGACATATCACAATCAAATTTCATTTCTTTTGCCATCCAAAATTTACTGGCTGATCATTTCTATCCCTTGTTCCTTAAGGTCTAAGAGATTTAAAATTTAACAAGCAAAACCATTTAGTGTGATAACAATGCCAAGCCGTCAAAACTTCCGTACAGACTTCTCCATAATCGTACACCTCTATATACTATCGGCCTCTATAATACGGACACACTTGCCACTTTCAACTAATTCCCATTAGGAAGGTTTGACTATAGATGAAAATCGCCTCCAAAAACGGTTAGAAGTAAAAAAAAAAACCTAAATCTCACCTGCATTGTTACCGCAGTAACGCAGCCAGCACACAGGGGGCTTAACCAACCGATACACGTAGAAAGCACCACAATTTTGGATCTGAATATCGTTTTTCCAGTTGCAACATCTGGAACCCCAATGATAGCAAACTCGACGAGTGACAATGCCTTCTCTTACTGACGGGTGTGAACCGTTCAGCCAGCCCGGAGCATGCGTACCACAGCGTAATTTTGGGACACAGGATGTTGGCATTCTGTCGCCAGCTTCGCCACTGAAGCGATACCAAGCTGGCAAAGGATGCAGGTGTCTCTGGTCACATCTCAAGTTCTTTTGATCTCTATTTGCCACGCTACGGTTGAAACCGTCAAGAACGTGATAGTTGCTGCATGGATTTGGTGCTAAAAAGGGAAAGTGGAGATATAAACTCACTTTATGGAGAATTCAACAAGACTTTTATTACAATTAATATATGCTATTTTGAAGAAAAAAAAGCAGTAAAATGAATAAACCTGGGCAGCATTAAACTAATCAACGAGAACGAAACAAATTAAATTCATTGATTTTTTTTGAGATGGGGACACTTGACATTTTCAGGAACTGATAAACCTGCGTGGAAATCTTTGGTGTCCCCCACTAACTGGAGACACTTTCCCACATAGAATTTCAATCCGAAGAATTATCCAAAAAAATCTTTCGGACCAAAGAGGAACTCAGCAACAAACTCAACAAGACATTATTGCTCCCTGAACCTCGCTAACTCCGATCCCCCAGGCAATGCAACAAAACAAAACCTGAAGACAAAATGATCGTATGCCAACGCTTGTTCCTCTAAAGCGTTTGTCAAATACGTTTATGATAATGTAAATTTACATTACCAACAATTTTTATGTCAAAGTGTAATGTTGTTTCTGTGAGACCATTTCACGTTTTTCATACCTGGTCTTGTTGTTGGTAGAGGTGGTGTCGTTGTTGGTGGTGGAGGCGTTCCTGAAAAGAATTGCAGACGTAAGATATCCAGGTTTGATGCTTTTGCAGAATTGAGTGTCAAAAGAATAAACTTTACATTTACAAAAAGCGGATGCAGATTATCGGAATCCCTTAAAGTATAGTTCGCACTTTTTCGAAAGGTAGAGTGCCTTGAATGTCGTAGGTTTAACTGATTCCCATTTGGAACTAACAAAATTTTCCAAGTTCTTCTCACTCCACATACCATTCTATTCATTATCTATAATTTTGAGGCCAGTAAAATTACCTATCAAAAGCTTATTTACATTGAGATGAGTATATTCAAAGAACGCAATAGCACCTAAATCCCTAAAAACAAAACCAGTACGGAAAGCTCGATTGGCCCAACAGATACCAAATGTCTTTCCTTAACAATAAGGACACCTTCTTACCATTGCAGTTGGAAACACTTGGCTCTGTCCCTTAATTCAATTCCCTCACTACGAATGTTGGAATAAAATTCAAGACCTTTTCCGATAACAGCTAGAAGGGACGAAAACAAAAAAAACTCACCTGCATTGTTACCACAGTAACGCAGCCAGCACGTGGGAGGCTTAACTAACCGATATACATAGAAGGCACCACAGTTTTGGATCTGAATATCGTTTTTCCAGTTGCAACATCTGGAACCCCAATGATAGCAAACTCGACGAGTGACAATGCCTTCTCTTACTGACGGGTGTGAACCGTTCAGCCAGCCCGGAGCATGCGTACCACAGCGTAATTTTGGGACACAGGATGTTGGCATTCTGTCGCCAGCTTCGCCACTGAAGCGATACCAAGCTGGCAAAGGATGCAGGTGTCTCTGGTCACATCTCAAGTTCTTTTGATCTCTATTTGCCACGCTACGGTTGAAACCGTCAAGAACGTGATAGTTGCTGCATGGATTTGGTGCTAAAAAGGGAAAGTGGAGATATAAACTCACTTTATGGAGAATTCAACAAGACTTTTATTACAATTAATATATGCTATTTTGAAGAAAAAAAAGCAGTAAAATGAATAAACCTGGGCAGCATTAAACTAATCAACGAGAACGAAACAAATTAAATTCATTGATTTTTTTTGAGATGGGGACACTTGACATTTTCAGGAACTGATAAACCTGCGTGGAAATCTTTGGTGTCCCCCACTAACTGGAGACACTTTCCCACATAGAATTTCAATCCGAAGAATTATCCAAAAAAATCTTTCGGACCAAAGAGGAACTCAGCAACAAACTCAACAAGACATTATTGCTCCCTGAACCTCGCTAACTCCGATCCCCCAGGCAATGCAACAAAACAAAACCTGAAGACAAAATGATCGTATGCCAACGCTTGTTCCTCTAAAGCGTTTGTCAAATACGTTTATGATAATGTAAATTTACATTACCAACAATTTTTATGTCAAAGTGTAATGTTGTTTCTGTGAGACCATTTCACGTTTTTCATACCTGGTCTTGTTGTTGGTAGAGGTGGTGTCGTTGTTGGTGGTGGAGGCGTTCCTGAAAAGAATTGCAGACGTAAGATATCCAGGTTTGATGCTTTTGCAGAATTGAGTGTCAAAAGAATAAACTTTACATTTACAAAAAGCGGATGCAGATTATCGGAATCCCTTAAAGTATAGTTCGCACTTTTTCGAAAGGTAGAGTGCCTTGAATGTCGTAGGTTTAACTGATTCCTATTTGGAACTAATAAGATTTTCCAAGTTCTTCTCACTCCACATACCATTCTATTCATTATCTATAATTTTGAGGCCAGTAAAATTACCTATCAAAAGCTTATTTACATTGAGATGAGTATATTCAAGGAACGCAATAGCACCTAAATCCCTCAAAAAAAACCAGTACGGAAAGCTCGATTGGCCCAACAGATACCAAATGTCTTTCCTTAACAATAAGGACACCTTCTTACCATTGCAGTTGGAAACACTTGGCTCTGTCCCTTAATTCAATTCCCTCACTACGAATGTTGGAATAAAATTCAAGACCTTTTCCGATAACAGCTAGAAGGGACGAAAACAAAAAAANCAAGACTTTTATTACAATTAATATATGCTATTTTGAAGAAAAAAAAGCAGTAAAATGAATAAACCTGGGCAGCATTAAACTAATCAACGAGAACGAAACAAATTAAATTCATTGATTTTTTTTGAGATGGGGACACTTGACATTTTCAGGAACTGATAAACCTGCGTGGAAATCTTTGGTGTCCCCCACTAACTGGAGACACTTTCCCACATAGAATTTCAATCCGAAGAATTATCCAAAAAAATCTTTCGGACCAAAGAGGAACTCAGCAACAAACTCAACAAGACATTATTGCTCCCTGAACCTCGCTAACTCCGATCCCCCAGGCAATGCAACAAAACAAAACCTGAAGACAAAATGATCGTATGCCAACGCTTGTTCCTCTAAAGCGTTTGTCAAATACGTTTATGATAATGTAAATTTACATTACCAACAATTTTTATGTCAAAGTGTAATGTTGTTTCTGTGAGACCATTTCACGTTTTTCATACCTGGTCTTGTTGTTGGTAGAGGTGGTGTCGTTGTTGGTGGTGGAGGCGTTCCTGAAAAGAATTGCAGACGTAAGATATCCAGGTTTGATGCTTTTGCAGAATTGAGTGTCAAAAGAATAAACTTTACATTTACAAAAAGCGGATGCAGATTATCGGAATCCCTTAAAGTATAGTTCGCACTTTTTCGAAAGGTAGAGTGCCTTGAATGTCGTAGGTTTAACTGATTCCTATTTGGAACTAATAAGATTTTCCAAGTTCTTCTCACTCCACATACCATTCTATTCATTATCTATAATTTTGAGGCCAGTAAAATTACCTATCAAAAGCTTATTTACATTGAGATGAGTATATTCAAGGAACGCAATAGCACCTAAATCCCTCAAAAAAAACCAGTACGGAAAGCTCGATTGGCCCAACAGATACCAAATGTCTTTCCTTAACAATAAGGACACCTTCTTACCATTGCAGTTGGAAACACTTGGCTCTGTCCCTTAATTCAATTCCCTCACTACGAATGTTGGAATAAAATTCAAGACCTTTTCCGATAACAGCTAGAAGGGACGAAAACAAAAAAACTCACCTGCATTGTTACCACAGTAACGCAGCCAGCACGTGGGAGGCTTAACTAACCGATATACATAGAAGGCACCACAGTTTTGGATCTGAATATCGTTTTTCCAGTTGCAACATCTGGAACCCCAATGATAGCAAACTCGACGAGTGACAATGCCTTCTCTTACTGACGGGTGTGAACCGTTCAGCCAGCCCGGAGCATGCGTACCACAGTGTAATTTTGGTACACAGGATGTTGGCAGTCTGTCGCCAGCTTCGCCACTGAAGCGATACCAAGCTGGCAAAGGATGCAGGTGTCTCTGGTCACATCTCAAATTCCTTTGATCTGTATTTGCCACACTACGGTTGAAACCGTCAAGAACGTGATAGTTGCTGCATGGATTCGGTGCTAAAGAGAACGCATGAAAACATTAGCTTCGGGAAAGACAAAGCTCAAAAGAATATTTTTTTAGTAACTACTTACTTAAAAGGATGTGTTGATGTTTATTGTGCAAGGACTGCAACCCGTATTTGATAGATAAGATGAACTTACACTAGTCAGTTAAAACTAAATGCCTTTACTGAGCTTTTTACAAACACGCGAACTCTGAAGTTCAAAACCAACTTGCGTTTGTGTTCTTTGCTCGATTAATCATCTAGCGCCCTTATAGAAAACAAATTAAGGTTTACTTCAACGATTTCAAGAGGTCATGGTTTTTGATTTGTTATTGGTGGATTTCCATCCGTTTTGTGTCGTGTTTTAAGGTTCGTAGCTTGTGATCGTAATTATGCCGCAATGACAGCTGAGCGAAAAAGGCAATTGTAAGCTGGCGTATAAAGTTTACAACTCGCGTGTTACTGAAAAGCACAATAACTGAAAGTATGGAACCATTTTATACCTGGTGTTGTAGTTGGTGCTGTGGAGAAAACAAAACGAAAGATATTTAAGTGTTGTTTTATTGTTATTACTATTACTATTATTATTATTATTATTATTATTATTATTATTATTATTATTATTATTATTATTACTATTATTGTTATTATTTATTGATAGTACCCAAAAATACGTAAACTAAAAAAAACATATAAATCTCATTTAATTTTAGCGAGAAGCAGAAGAGGAAGAATTCATTCTTTTAACAAGGATGTACTTAGTCTGGAAAAAAGGGACACCATCATGATACGTAAACAGGAGTAATTACAAGAGTTATCAACAATCTGTCCTGAGTCCCCGAACAACAAATATACTTCCTAAAGATCGATTGATATCAAGTTAATTTCCTTTCACTATAAGTTTAGGCTGATGTTCCTATGCTTTTATACTCATAATATAAATGAAGAAAAAGGAGAGGCCAGTATGTTTATACCAAAAACCTCCTACTCTACTCGAATCAGTGACCACACGAGCTGCATTGTCCTTTGTGATAGAGGGACCCAATATGGGATAAGAATATAAAGCTCCGCCCATAAACAGATAAGCGCTGTAGTGTACGAAGATTTGTGAACAGGACAATTGCATTTTGATCTTCTTTTTTACCTTTTGTAGTTGCTGGAGAGGGCGATGTAATAGGTGACCCTACAAAGAAAAACAATCAAACAGGTGACTTAATTAGATTGTTTATCTATTTTCCTACTTTAAGGAGGATTTTAACCCTTATCCGTTTATCCTTAATTACTTGATTGAACACACGAGTTTCTTTTGTAAAGAATAAGATTGATTGACGAAAAAATGTATACATGGGCAAGAGACTGATGGTGGCGCATGCTGCTGTGTTCTTCAAATATCTGAGAACGCTAGTAAAAATAAATAGATAAACAAATAAAATAGAAATGTGTCAGAGTCTTGCACTGACCTGTATTATTGTCTCCACAGTAACGCAGCCAACAATGTGGAGGCTTGATTAAGTTATACACATAAAAATCACCACAGCTTCGGACCTTGATGTTGTTTTGCCAATTGCAGCACCTGCTCGACCAATGATAACAAACTTTACGATTCACTTGACCTTCCTGGAGTTGCGGGTGGGTACCGTTAAGCCAGCCAGGAGCATGTGTTCCGCATCTTCTCATGGGAACACATGATTCTGGAATCTTAGTACCACTGTTGCCTATCAGGCGATGCCATTTACCATCCACGATGTTGTCTGGTGCTCTTTGATCGCATCGCAGTCTGCTCTGGTCGGTATTGCCCATTGCCCGGTCAGGTTGGTTGAGCGTTTCATAGTCCTCGCATTCATTGGGTATTCCTGCAAGCAAATCAGTTTGAATTCAATTGGAAGAAAATTTTTCATAAACACTACTTATCGGCTCGGCTAGGACTTACATAAAAACATCTATGAAGTGTAATTTAAAGTGGCTGGAAAGGATACAGATTTTCTGAAGAATTTTCGGGGAATTTCTTGTTATCGAGGCAGAAGATCAGTTTCGAAATATGCCAAAGTTTGGCGGAAGAAAGAAAGAAATATCTGAAAATGATTTGGGTAAGGATTTAAGCTCACCGCAGTATCGAAGTGAACAGGCAGGCGTCCTCTTCAGTTCATAGACGTAAAAAGCTCCACAATTCCTGACTCTGATGTTATTACTCCATTGACAGCAGCCGCTTGACCAATGATAACAAACTTTACGACTCACTATACCCTGAGCTACGGTAGGATGACCTCCTTGCAACCACCCTGGGGCATGCGTACCGCAGCGACGTTTAGCGGGGCATTTAGTGGGCATCCTAACACCAGCTGCACCAGAGAAGCGATACCAGCCTTCGGTGAATCCACGGCCAGGCTGATCACATCCGAGTGGGCTTTGACCAGTGTATCCCACACGACGGTTAACGTTGTTTAGAAGCTTGTAACTGTTACATGGGTCAGGCGCTTGAAAGAAATTAAAAACGATTATTGATTACAATATTTCTTATTGATGGTAAAACGCATTCATGGTGACTGAAAAGCCAGTGGATCATGGCCATAATCTAAGATCTTGTAAGACTAACCCAGCGTACCTCAGAATACCTGTATCACGCACTGTTAGGCACAAACAATCATTTATTCCTAGAGGTGCTAATCTTAACTTAATTTGATATGTATATATAATATGTAGTGTTTTGAATTTTTATTGTANTTTAGTGGGCATCCTAACACCAGCTGCACCAGTGAAGCGATACCAGCCCTCGGTGAACCCACGACCAGGCTGATCACATCCGATTGGGCTTTGACCAGTGTATCCCACACGACGGTTAATGTTGTTTAGAAGCTTGTAACTGTTACATGGGGCAGGCGCTTGAAAGAAATTAAGAACGATTATTGATTACAATATTTCTTATTGATGGTAAAACGCATTCATGGTGACTGTAGCGATATAAACGTAGATCCATCTTGATATGATGTGGATTTTGTATCAAAAATCAATAAAAGGAAGAAAATATTTCTTAAAGGGGCTATATCATAGTGATTTCCACAATTTTTGGTTTATTACGCTAAACTAACGGATTGGGGAATGGAACTCGTAAGGAAAGATATCAGATGATTATATCAAAGGAAAACCAAAGCATATATTCATTTTTTTTCATTTGTTGACACAACAGGGTTAAACTTGAATAATATGGCTCAATCTTCTCAACTTGCAAATCGTTTCCACCAAGGTCATTGAATGCTAACGTCATACACCGATAGTTGATGCATAGTAGAATTAAATAGGCCTTAACTATTACATTTCTGGGAATTCCTTTCATTCTAACTTGTGTTTAGCGTTCTAAAGTAATAACAAAAAATCGTCATATCTTTTTAGTGGATTTGTACATGCATACCTTGTGTTGTTGTTGGTGGTGGCAGTGTGGTAGGCGCTCCTAAAAAGCAAGCGAAGCACATCAAACAAATCATTAAATGTCCCGAAGATACTCCCATAAAAGTTGGGAAAGGTGTTTGCCGCCCAGGATCCTAAACCCTGGACTATATGCCTATTTTTCGCCTCTTTTTATTATATCCCAGAAATACATTTGCAGATAATCATCATAAGCGTGGACCTGGATGTTTCTGAAATTGGCTCACTAAACATAAATGTCCCCGGTTTTTTTTCAGTGGTAAACTTTGCTTGCAATTGTATTCGAACGTGAATAGTTTGTCCAATTTAGCTGTCCGTCCAGGTTAATTACCCAAAACTCTACGAGGTTTCTTGCCAGCTCAAGAACTTTTTGATAGGACAACAAAATCAACTGTAGAGGTGAGCAGCCAGAGCAAGATTTCATGAATAAGAATAAGACTAAAATAGATCAGCTACAGCACATTACACTTACCTGCGTTATTGTTGCCACAGTAACGTAACGTGCATGTTGGAGGCCTTTTTAACTGATAAACGAAAAAAGTACCACAGCTTCGAACCTTGATGTCGTTATGCCAATTGCAGCACTTGTTTGACCAGTGATAACAAACTTTTCGACCAACAAGACCATCTTGGAGTTTTGGATGGGCCCCGCTTAGCCAACCAGGAGCATGTGTTCCGCATCTTCTCACGGGAACACAATTTTCTGGTATTTGAGAACCGCTGTTGCCAATGAAGCGATACCATCTTCCGTCCACGATGAAATTTCGATCGCATTGCAGATTGTTTTGGTTGGGGTTACCCATTCGGCGTTCAGGTTCGTTGATTGAGGTGTAGACCTCGCATTCATTAGGTATTCCTGAAAACAAATCGTTTTGACTTCAACACAGTAAATGTCTTTAAGGATAGTGGTAAGCCACAGACAATGAAACATGGGATTACTCGATGTAGCAGAACTTTAAAAACTTTACGAAAATGCAGGACACATGAAAATGACTTTTCAGAGGATGCTAGTGGTAAATAAAATTAATCTACCAGGACCGTAAATGACCACCTAGATCCCGGCAAACTGAGCGACATTATTTTTTTAGCATAGTATTACGAAAAGTAGAACGAAAAGCCCGTTATTATCATTCCTTTCGAGGCAAATAGATTATCAAAGTCTAGGTATGAAGTGTATGATTTCAGGAAAGTCAATTTTACACTCACCGCAATATCGAAGCGAACAGACGGGCGTTCTCTTCAGTTCATAGACGTAAAAAGCTCCACAATTCTTGACCTTAATGTCATTACTCCAGTTACAGCAACTGCTTGACCAATGGTAACAAACTTTCCTACTCACTATACCCTGAGCGACGGTAGGATGTCCCCCTTGCAACCACCCTGGAGCATGCGTACCACAGCGACGTTTAGCTGGGCATTTGGTGGGCATCCTAACACCAGCTTCACCAGTGAAGCGATACCAGCCTTCGGTAAATCCTCGGCCAGGCTGATCACATCCGAGTGGGCTTTGACCAGTGTATCCCACACGACGATCAATGCTGTTCAAAATCTTGTAACCCACACATGGATCCAATACTGTAAAGGAACAAGTGTTAAACCATTAGCTTGCTTTACGCTGTTTCAGAGATTAGAATGATTAGAAGGTCAGAAAGAACAACTATCTGCCCTACAGGAACGTATAGCTAGGGATGTTACAGAGGTACGCTTAGCTTCCAGAAACTAAACTATTCATCACCCGATTCCAACTCTTTTTTGGACCTTTATGAGTGACTTTACTCCCGCTCCTTTAAGCTAGATAACAACTACACAGAATGATACTAAAAGCTGTCCGGCATAGTGTGAATCACAACGGCACAGCACTGGAACAAATTGCTTCACACACATCGAACATCGTGCCGTAGGCCGAGAGGTCTTGGGGAAGTAAATCCCAGTCGTCAGTGGATTCCAGTCCTCGCTCCTATTTATTCACTTCCGCAACGGTCCGAATTCCCTTTCACACAACACTATAGCGTTGCACAGAACACTCCACTCTCGCTCGCGCGGCGCAGCTTTCCTCCGTTACAGAAATCGCGCCTAAAAAACCGTTCTTAAGTGTGAATAGAAGTCCTATCCGATATGATTTTCGTGCCAACCCAAGAACTATACGTTCTATTGTAAATATAGACTTAGCTTTCAGTGTATTGGAAATTTCTCTCGTTTGCCTAACACTACTTTCCAGTTTCAGTTCTTTTCATATGCTATAGCACTGCACAGTAAAAGGAATTTTACTTTTAGTGCTGTAACTTATGCGCATTTAAGATAACTGATTTGGCTAAACTTTAACCTCCTAGCAACCATGCATTGTTCCAATCGCGGAAAAAATTCCTGCATTATTGTCACGGTCTAGAACTTTCAACCTCGTGCATTAATTCTTTGCCAGAAATCTACTTGACAATCTTTTATCGGATTTAAGGCTTTTTTTACTCCAAGGAAAGCTGATATAGACAAATTGCAGAATCTGATGAGCTATTAAGCACTTACAGCTCGCCAACAACGAGCCCATGTCAGCTACAATGTTCTTGAGCTAAGCATTGACCAGATTGAGGATTTCAATGGCGAGTTTATATAATTATTGCCAAAGTTCATTCCGACCGCAATATTTTTAAAAGAGGGACGCACAAACCAGTCACCTCGGCTTCCATATATCTTAAAGAACCAAATCAGTGGTGATCGGTAATCAAAACTTGACTAAAATCTTTAACCACTCCCAGAGGGAAGGTGTTCACTATGAGACTTGTCAGTCTTAGGTGTACTGTATTAAACCCTGACACTCACTCTTATCCTAACAACTAGATCTGTCGTAACCGCAAAGGTACCTGCAATTCAAACCTCGCCATATGCCAATTTGCTCTCGACAAGTGCAAGGAAAACACTTAACTTGCCAAAAACAACTTCGTTTACCTTTTTTGTCACATGACAGAGAAACCTTTGCAATTGAACAACGTGTCTCATACTAAATCGTGTCCGACATCAGTAAAATTCTTTAAAAATGGTATTAAAATTTTAAACTGAAAAAGTACATTTTGACCCCGTACCTCTTTTATGGAGTTTGTCTGCGGTGATTTCATCTCCTAGAAGCACTTCAGCGCAAGCCACAAGGAAATAGCAAAGTAGGATACAGTACCTCATGGCTCTACCTCTCAAAGCTTGCAGCTTTGATGAACAAGTATTGGTATGTGTTTTGAGATTATATTCAGAGAAAGCGGAGAGAAAGTCACGGTTCTGTTACCACGAATTTCCGCTTTGTTAAATGAACGGTTAAAACAAGCCCAAGACACGTAGCTGCTTTGCATGTTGAGGTAAGCAAGACGAAGACCGCATTGGTTATAGTATTGGTATTCCTTTAGTGAAGCCAAACAATCGGCTGGAAAATAAACGCATGAACAAAATTTGATCAAGATGCGTTGCACTGAGTGCAGCATCTTGCCTTAAATGTGTTAAGCCAACCATATTGTTCAAATGCAGTTGGAACAGCAGCATTGGACCTGTGAAACGTGGAGATCGAGGAGTGTGGATCAAGCTAATTGTAACTGAACAAGTCTTGGTATAGGCTTTACTGACTTGATTTTAGTATAAAGTGAAATCTANAAAGCTTGCAGCTTTGATGAACAAGTATTGGTATGTGTTTTGAGATTATATTCAGAGAAAGCGGAGAGAAAGTCACGGTTCTGTTACCACGAATTTCCGCTTTGTTAAATGAACGGTTAAAACAAGCCCAAGACACGTAGCTGCTTTGCATGTTGAGGTAAGCAAGACGAAGACCGCATTGGTTATAGTATTGGTATTCCTTTAGTGAAGCCAAACAATCGGCTGGAAAATAAACGCATGAACAAAATTTGATCAAGATGCGTTGCACTGAGTGCAGCATCTTGCCTTAAATGTGTTAAGCCAACCATATTGTTCAAATGCAGTTGGAACAGCAGCATTGGACCTGTGAAACGTGGAGATCGAGGAGTGTGGATCAAGCTAATTGTAACTGAACAAGTCTTGGTATAGGCTTTACTGACTTGATTTTAGTATAAAGTGAAATCTATATACAGCTTTAAATCAGCCTTTAAATCTTACCGCCAGGCGGTTTGTTCAGAGTAAAACATAAAGTTCTGATCGGAGCACATTTTAAAACAAAACGTGTAAAATATCACACAAGAAAATGTTGGCTTAAAAAGAGTCGAAAACGTGCGATTTCTTTGACGTCGTTAATGCCCAGTACTGGATTTAAAAGTGAAATTAAGTGCCTACTTAAAAAGTCGATCCACCCTTAAAGGTCTAAGTCATAGTTAACAGATCGTTATAGGCCGTGATTACTATTTGATTATATATGTACAATCAAGCGAGACGTTAAACGAATTTGTTTCACGTACGTGCTCCAATATTCGAATATCGCTTTTTATGCCTCAAATACGTTTCTTTAAACGTTGAAATTACTAAGAAGCCTCAAGATTGACACGTTGAATTGAGTTGTTGTGCACCAACAAGTTGAATTCTTCTGCAATCATTATGATTAAGGGTTAGAGCTGAGTCGCCTTTGATTTACTGGCAAATACGTGTTCTGGCTGTAGAATGAACCGGTTACTCAAAAGCAATGAAAAACAATGGAGTCAGAAAAAAGTAAAAGCTGATCTCAGGTTAAACATCGTGTCGGAGTAGTTGGTTAAGAGGGCTTGGGGAAGTAAATCCTAGTCCTTAGTGGATTCCAATCCTCGCTCTTATTCATTCACATCCACAACGGTCCGAATTCCCTTTCACACTCATCAAAGCGTGGCACAGAAAATTCCACTTTCTTGATCAGCGCAGCTTTCCTCCGTTACAGAAATCGCGCCAAAAAAGCCGTTCTCATGTGTCAACAGAAGCCCTATCCGGTATTGTCTCAGTGCCGGTCCAAGAACTATACTTTACATTGTAAACAGGGTTATAGTTTTCAGTAGCGTATTGGAAATTTCCCTCGTTTGCTTACCACTACTTTTTTAAGTTTCAGTCTTCTTTATGAGCTTGTAGCACGGCTCAGTAAATTAAATGTTACTTTTAAGGCAGTAACTTATGCGCAACATCATTCCCTAAGTTATGTGAACATTGATTGATTTGGGTAAACTTTAACCTTCTAGCAATCATGCATTGTTCCAATCGGGGAAAAAAATCCTGCATTGTTGTCACGATCTAGAACTTTCAACCTCGTGCATTAATTCTTTGCCAGAAATTTACTTTACAATCTTTTATCTGATTTAAATCGTCGCATTTTTACTCCAAAGAAAGCTGATAGAAAAAAATTGCAGAATATGAGCTATTAAGCACTTACAGCTCACCAACAACGACGGCCATGTCAGCTACAATGTTCTTGAGCTAAGCAGTGACTAGATTGAGGATTTCAATGGCAAGTTTATATGGCAAGTTTATAAGCCGCAGTATTTGTCCCTTCGTTTTTTATATAGCTTAAAGAACCAAATCAAGTGTGATCGGTAATCAAAACTTGACTAGAATCTCAACCACTCCCTGAGGGCAGGTGTCCACTATGAGACTTATCAGTCTTAAGCGTACTGTAACCCGAACACTCACTCTTCTCCTAACAACCAGATCTGTCGAAACCGCAAATATACTTGCAATTCAAATACCACCAAATGCCAATTTACTCTTGACAAGTGCAAGGAAAACACTTAACTTACCAAAAACAACTTCGTTTACTTTTTTGTGACATGACGGAGTGACCTTTGCAGTTGAACAATGTCTCTAATACGTCTGCTAAACTGTGTTCGAGAGATCAGTAAAAAGCTTTTAAAAATGCTTTTAAAACTGAAAAGTACATTTTGACCCCGTACCTCTTTTATGGAGTTCGTCTGCAGTGATTTTATCTGCTAGAAGCACTTCGCCGCAAGCCACCAGGAAATAGCAAAGTAGGGTAAAGTACCTCATTGCTCTACCTTTCAAAGCTTGCAGCTTTGATGAACAAATATTGGTATGTGTTTTGAGATAATATTCAGAGAAAGCGGAAAAAAATTCACGGTTCTGTTACCACGAATTTCCGCTTTGTTGATGAACGGTGGTAAGCACAAAACATTTAACTGTTTTGCATGTTGAGGTAAGCAAGACGAAAATAGCATTGGTTATAGAATAGGTATTCGTTTAGTGAAGTTAAACAATCTAATAGTAGATAAACGCATGAACACAATTTGATCAAGATGCTTTGCACAGAGTACAGCATCTTGTCTTAAATGTGTTAAGCCAACCATGCTGTACAAGTAATCGCGACTACTGCAGTTGGAAGAGTGGGATTGGACCTGTGAAACATGGAGATTGAGGAGTGTGGATCGGATCAAGCTAACTGTAACTAAACGAGTCTTGGTATAATTACCACACATACAGGTTAAGATCACGCAATTTCAACCCTTCAACTCTTTCTTGACTAGCAACAAACGCATTTTCCCCTCATGAATGATAAACTTATATTGTTAAAAATGAAGGTGTTGCTTTGCGTTGAATAAATATAGATATCTTGCAGATGTTTTCTTTTCTTTGGAAAGAGAGTCACCATCAATAAAAGCCCTTCGCTGAATCACTTTCTACCTTCAAAGTACCGACACGCTTGTCAAATAGCTAGAATAAAGTTAAATGAAACTCAGTAAACTCATTAAACTTTTAACTACCGAGCCAATTACTGCCAAAATAATAATCTCAAGACATTTAATCGAGCTATACATCTATATTGCGCAAACTATGTGGCCTGTTTAAATTGTTTTACGTTTTGCTGTCCAATTACTTTAATTTTGTAATGTACTGTAAGTGGCAATAAAGAAGTCTGTGGAAATACGTATTTCAATATTTCGGTTTTACTCTCTTTGTTTTCCATGTTTCCGTAATCCCAGTTTCCAATGCTTTTCTGGTTTTCCACTGTACATTCATTGTACATTTTAGATCGGCTTGGATGATTTCGGCGAAACTTTTGACTGCAAACCGAAACGTACTGATCGGAACAAATGGACAATTTCAATAATATGGCTAGAGAGTAGGGAATTCAGAATTTCCAGTCCTTGCTCTTTTAGCGGTTATTGAGAGTGGGAGTGTATGTATGAGTGTCAATTCTATTCTGTGGTTTTTTGGAGTAACTGAAGCGGCAATTATACCTTGCTTCAGTCAGGCAAAGATCATGCCTTTTTGCATGTTTGGCCACTTGCTGTGGACGATGCACGTTCCCAAAACGACATTGTTGAACGCGTTCTAAAACTGAAAAAAACGAAATCCTATCTGCATAAGTACCTCACCTTATTCTGATAACAAGAAGTTTATGTATACTGAAAAAGTGAAAAAAAGAACTGTTCAATTGGCCGTAGTTATAGGCTTCACTGACTTGATTATAGTATAGAATGAAATCGATATACACCTTTGAATCTTACCGCCCGGCGGTTTGTTCAGGGTTAAAAAAAATAGCTCTGATCGGAGCACGTGGTAACACGAAAAAGTGTAAAATATCATACAAGAAAATGTTGCCTTAAAACTGAGAATCGAGAACATGCGATTTCTTTGACGTCATTAACTAGTATAAATGCCGAGTGTTGGTTGAAAGTGCAATTAAGTGTACGCTTACTTAAAAAGTCGATAACGATCCATGAACTATAATTTAGAATTTTATGAATGGATCGACGCTCTATTTACTATTTGATTATGTAATTGAACTCAAGCGGGACGTTAAACGAATTATTTTGTTTCACGGACTTAGTACAAAAGTCTAATATCAATTTTTACGCCTCAAAGAGGTTTTTTGTATCGTTGAAATTACCAAGAAGTCTCAAAATTGACACGTTGAAATAGGATAGCAGCAGATATAGAAACCAATGAAGCTTTCCCAGAAAAGAAACTGGGCGCCTTGTAACTCGGCAGACTATCCTGGTTTTATTTATTTTTTGTAGCCATTTAAATTAAGGCGCGTGTGTGGGGTTTGCTCAGGCGAATTGTGATTGGCTAGGAAGAACAATTGCCTTCTATCAAGTATTTTTCAGCAGGGTAGGGTGGCTTTGGGCAAATGATGTATCGGTCCCAAGAAAAGCCTGGGTGACCTGTGCTCAAACTTCCCGCGAGCTCAATATCTCGACATATGCACGCTGACGCATGAACTAATTCTTGATTAATGGGTTAACAAGAGAAATGAGTCAAAGTGATACTAATGGTTAAATATCAATAGCTTAAGAGATCTAAACCATGCTTCTGAATGCCATACAGATTCTGATATGAGAATGGCAGAATTTTAGCTTATCATTTTGCCAAGACTGGTAAACGATATAAATTTAATTACCGGTAAATATGACTCCGGAGGGGCAGCCGGAGTGAGACGGGTCCAAATAAGGTAGGTATAAATTAGCATTAAGAAATAAATTAGGTATAAATTAGCATTAGAAATAAATTAGCATTAAAAGAGCTGTGTCACTAAATTTGTTAGAATTCAAGGAGTAGGAGTTGCCACAAAACTGGGTGAAACATGAAAATAACCGCTCAAAACATTCAAAGAAGGTATAATTAACACAGCAAATACAAAAGGAGGCATGGATGGACAAACTTGAAGGAGATTAAAGCGGATTGCAGTTGTGGGTTTTGAAAACTTGTCAGCCTAACAGTTTTTCAAAGATCATCTTTGTTGTTTGTAACGTTTGATATAATGTTAAGGACACATATTGGTTGGACAAGAAGCTGTGATTTTGTGATTAGCGAGTAATTTCTCAAGTTCCAAGCGACCAAGGACGCGTAACTGGCCCTATTAGAGAGGTTGATCATCACGTTTACGTCAAACGGCAAACTCGAATTTGTACCACGTGACCATGTTTCCCTTACTGTTCATTATTTCTACATATAGATAAGTAGTTTCACGCAACTTTTTATCCATAAGAACTTTGTTGAGCTGGTTTTATCTGCTCATTTTCTATTTTGAAAAATTCTCAGCTCGAATCTGACTTTTTCCGTTTGCCGTATCTCTTTATCATCAAAAATGAATGGCAGACAGCTACGACGCAGTCCCTTTAGTAAAAGGATTATTAAGAGCTCGGTAGAAAAAGAACTCATAGTGAAAATAATAGTTGGAAAAGTACTAGCTTAAAGCCTACTAGCCGCGGGCTTGATCGGCAAAAGTACTTAAAATAGACTTCATTTCGTGTTGTGATAAAGCGGGCTTTTTTCCTCGTTCTTGACCTTTTTGTCTCCAGGCCTGACCCTCCCTCCTCCCTTTGCATCATGCGCCGAACACATTTCAAACTTCCTCTGGACTGAACGAAAAAATTGTTTCATATGCGAGCTTTTTTCTGTTTAATCAATTTATATTTCTCAAGAAGGAGTATCTTAAACACACTTTGACCAAGTTTTTCTGACAAGCGTCTCACTTTTTGCTATGGGCATCTAGGTAATGCAAGCAAATTTACGGGTGAAGAATGATGACATAAAAAAAAGTGCACGCTTTGTTTTCCTGTTCATTTAAACAAGCAAGGGCATTCAATGCAATTAGGTATAACTTTCATCCATCAAGAACAGGTTTTAACTTCACTATAAACGTTACCAAACACCGTTTCTATTTTTCTTTTCATTGTTTCAAAAACATAGACAAATTTTGGAGGGATTTAATTCAGTAATAAGTGCACTCACCTTCCCCACAACACCTTCCACCATATCCTGCTCTACAGGTACAACCACTGCTATGGGGAGTTCCACCATGTTGGCAGGCATCTCGGTTACATCTTCTCCTCTCCAGTAAAGAGTAGGGACAGCTTCCACCACAAGACGCAGCCCTCGTCTGCTGCCGCGTCCGTCTTTGTGTACCGCTAGTACCGCAGGGATGCGAGCAAGAATTCCAGCTTGTCCAGCTACTGACAAGGCAGTTTACAGCTTGGCAGGACCGTCTTCGCCGTCGTCTTCTTCGCCAGGCATTTGTCTCCATCATCAAAAGCAGGAGGCAGACTGCCATCAAAGCTTTCTTCATTTTTGAAGTCCGTCTGCTGGCGACGACCTCTTTAATTTATGGCAAAATGCTTACTGAGACCTCTTTTTTAATCGTAAAGTACTAATTATGCAAAATGCAAAAATTCCGCTTTCGACATTCAATGTCGCGTGAACTATTCCTTGTACTCGGATCATTAATCTTTTTGGGTTACTGTTTGTTGAATTCTTTATACAATAACATCGACGCGCAAGTATATCGCACTGTTGAAGCCCATATCTTCTCACGGCAGTAGCGAAAGAGACTTCATTATGATTTTAAGGTCTTACAGTTTTTGGCGATCTTTCGTCTTTTTCTTGCCATTTTATGATACATCTCGAATTTATATGTGTACCACAGGAATATCAGAAGAGTAATCTAGTTAATTCTGATTAGACTTCGAGCAACCATGTGTATCTTTTAACTGTGTAATTGTCAAACATGCATTCTTGTTTAACTACTCTTTAGGTCTCTTACATTGATATTCATCACAGGCTTGATATTCTTCTCTATTATCAGTAATTAATTAAGGTGCAATGGATATGTTTACAAAACGAAAAAATAAAGACTGAGGCGATTTTAAAAGAACCTTCGGTAAGCCATCTTATATTTACATTTTTTTTCATATTATGTCAGCTAGCACTTGGATGAGGAGAGCACAGAGAGCCCATTGGTTTCAGATTCGGAGAATTTTTTAATATTCCAAAAGAAATCAATGCGACAGATTCTGGAGCGACAGGCATGGCTTTTAATATCGATATAATTAAATGATTTCATTTTATTTAAGCTAAGAACTTAACCAACCACTGTGATGAGAGCTAAGGGTCGTCTTTGACAGTTACTTCCCATTTACGTGTGTTTTTTTTTATTATTATTTTAAAGGACAAAGGTTTTCTAGTTAATATGTGACGTAATCAAATTCCAACACAAAAAAATTGAAAATAGTTTCATGCGAACCACGCAACAGTTGAGTTTGTACGAACTTTCAGTTCGAAATGGTCCATCGTTGTAGAATACAGCCTTTTGATTTCCTACTCGCATGTTCCTTTTTGATTCCAAATGCCATGTTGATGTCCTTCCACTGCACACCAATATCGCCGATTCCACAGTATTTTACCGTTCTGCCGAGCCGGGGTGAACTTCTTTGTAAGACCTTGTAATTTGCCGTTCCATTCTTAAGTTCTAGTTCTAGTTCTTATTCCTTATTTAAGCTTTTCCTTTGATAGTGAGAATTTTGGAACCTTCCATAGCACTCAGTTTGAAAGAATCCCGATAGCGCTGAAGCCCTTACGACCCCCCAAATGTTACTTTTTTTGCCCGAGGCAATTGATAACCTTTGACCGAAGATTTTACAAATTGTTTCTTCATTATTATTATTGTGGCTATACGTGAAAACAAACATGTTTCATTAAACTTCGTTTTGCTTGTGTCGCTTGATAGTGCAGGGTCACCCAATGGATTCGTTCTTTAAAATACCTGTTCTACGGGAAAATTTTTGCTGGCTGGCCGGAGATTTGATAAAATAATTTGTCCTTGGAAGGAAAGTGTTCCTGGGAAATAGACAATTTAGGGTGTGTGAGGGGATTTTATGTCTAGAATAGCTGTTATGTGCTTTTTCTCAAAAACCTTTGACTTGAAAAATGTACAGTTTGAGTTCCACAAGCTCTACGTTATTATTGCTTTGAGGTGATCTACGGTCGCTACAGCATCCAAAAAAGTAACGATCACTTCTAGCCATAATTTAAGATTATCGTGTTTAAGATAATAAGTTCTTCATTTTATTTTGTCTAGAACAAACAAACTCGACCGCCATTTCAAGCGCTTTCAAAGATGGCGGATATCGTGAATAAGTGTATTGAGATTTACATTAGCGAATTCGTCACTTTTTTTGGACTTTTGTCATTAAAATGTAATGCTTGCCTGACTTTTGTCATAAAGATGACGAAAATGGAGAAAAAAATCAGACAAACTTCGCACAGTAGTCACTTTGACGTCATTTGTGCGCTGTGTGCAAGTGGTTTTCAACCAATAGTGACGGGAATTGCATGTGTAGTGATAAAGAGTTTCCACAACATGCTGTTGGGGTTATAACCATAGGATGAGTGGGTGGTTTATGCTGAAGAAACCACTGTACACGCGGGTAGTGTGCGATGAGACTCCATGGCATATGAAAAGCGCTCTTTCTCTATTATTCTCCCCCTCTCAAATAAGCGCCTCCCCCCCTTTCCAGGGGAAGAAAGTTAATAAGCCCCCCTTCCCTCCCCTGATTATTCCAGTCACTAATAAATGATAGGCGGAAAGTATTAATTAATCACGACCGTAAAACTTTGTGTGGACTGATCCGTTTTAGTTTATTTACCAACTGAAAGTTGGGATTTGATTCTGATCCTCGGCTGCACGACCTCCAACTTTTCTACTTTGTATTCTAGTTCTTTATGAAAAAATGAAACCATCGTCTCTTTTAAATTAAATAAGACCCCCTTCTCTATTAAGCCCCCGCCCTCAAATGGGCCTGAAATAACTAAGCCACCCAGAGGGCTTAATCGGAGGATTTACGGCATGTAAACTACCCAAAATCAAGGAAGCTATAAAATCCCGATACAGAAGAAAAAAAAAGAAAAAGAATAAAGCTCTGGATAACTAAAAGAATGGCTGTTACGGAAACCCAAGAACTACTGTATTGTTTAATATTATAGAGACGGTCTAAGTAAAAACAATCACAAAAGAAGAAGCAGAGGTCGGAGTAGGGGCACCTTTGTCCTCAGGCTTTTCCCTCTAGATGGACGAGGATGGTTCGGGGGGGGGGGAGTTCAGAGGGGCAGTTAATAGAATTCCCTCGGGTTTTGGCGAAAAGGTCCGGCAATTGGGGGTAGGAACAGGGTTTTTGTGCTCAGCGGATCCTACGGATAGTGCTTTCCACTTTCCCAAGCTCTCTCTGCTTTTAGAATCAAAGGTGGCGACTACACACGGAAAAAACAGCGCTTACTCGCTCGACAAAACACGCCTGCAGGGCAGGCTATCACATGATCAGCCGTTAGTCACAAAAAAGACAATTAATTCAAATAATTGAATACATTTAAAAAAACTTTTAAAAGTTATTTAATCATTTTACCAAAGGAATTTGAAAAAGTCGCTGAAAATGACAAAAACCAGTTCCCAATGATTTTACTGACCACATAAGATTGAAATCTTTATATCGTCAACAGGTTAGAGTTTCTGAGGTATAATTGATGCATTTCATTGCGTGCTATGCCAAATCAATCGCCTGCATTGTAGCTCCAGAGAGAGCTTGCTAGCAGGCTACAGAATCAAGTGAGATGAGGATTTAACTTTGAATGCAATGCGCATTCCTGGCCATTGATTTCGAGCGACATAATCTGCGTTAATAAAGGTACATAAATATTTTAACCACATATTACCACGTTTTGTAAAGAAAAAACGAAGAGTTGAATCGACCATTTCGAACTAAGGTCAGCGAGCCTCTATCCAGCTAACTCTCTGAAACACGGAAATGATTGTCTTATATAAAAAGATGTCCGAAATGTAGAGGGACAGAGAGAATGAGTGAAGACTGGCGGCAGAGGCCCTTGGTCTATCAACGTAAGGAGTTTTAGGGGAGGTCTCCGGTTTAAAGAGACGTCATTAAAACTCTTTCACTCCTATTATAGAGCCTTTTCACATGACGTCAAGTTCGTGTTCAAAAACAATGAAATAGCAGCTATGATGGTGTTTCAAACCAGTCCTGTGAGAGTTGAACTCTTCTTACATAAACCCTTCTTTTTTCGAATAAATTTGCATAGATGCTGGTCACGTGAGTGAAAACGCTCCATTGGCTAAAGTCATTCAACTGGAACGTAAGCAAAAAGTTTTAAAGTGTCACTCATAACACTCTCACAAAAAAAGTACCATGTGAAAGTACTAACAAAGAGGTTTCATGTGAGTGGTCACTCTGCAGGATTTCGTCAAAAGTTGGAACCACCACCAAGACCCCAACATTCACTCTGGAAGTAAAAGGCTAAAGAAGAGGCTGACTTTTATCACGGAAAGTCGCATCTGCTGATAATAAGACCTTTTTACTCCCATGGGCAGTAACTATGCAGATTTATTGGAAAAAGAGAAAGTGTTTACATAAGAAAAAAGGATCTGTTACGAACGATATGTTTGATTTAAACATTAACCACAAGAGTTAGTTGATCACGATTGAGCAATCGAACACGTGATTTATTTCATTATTAGTTTTTCGTTCTCAAGTAGCTCAGACAAGTTACACGCGGACAGCAATTGTTTTCGGACAGTGTTTACGGTCACTAATTTCCTTACGGACAGTTCAAACCATTTCGACCGAGCGAGGTCTTACTCTTCAGGTACGATCGTTTTATTCCTTAATCTGTTCGTCTTTAAACTCGTTCTAGCCATTTTATTCAGTAATGAAATCAGAAATCGGCTTTGCTATACGCCCCAAATATGATCGGAATGTAATCTTAGAATCGTTCATTTGTACCTTGATTTTCAGAATTGCTACTTTATTAAAGCTATTAAAGGATTCCTTGTCTCGGTTGCTGTCTGCTGGGGTCTATACCAGGATCTTTATACGTTTCTGGGCAAACTACCCACCTATCCCTCCCCTAAGCCAATATTTTGCCCTAAGTGAGAAGTAAGTGTTTATGTTGGCTTAAGGGAGGGGTAGGTGTACCAACATTGCCGCCGTTTCATTGTTTTGTGACACGAATGATGATGGACGTGACGTCATGTAAAAAAACCCTTTATTTCATTTATATTTACAGGTGGAAACGAGGCCGGAGTTGACTCTCTTTTGTTACAACCGGCTTCCTGTTTATTAGGTAAATCACCTTGTTCTCATGCCGACTAGCATTTTCTTGAGCATCACATATAAAAAATGTCCGTAACAGAAGGAAGAAGGTCGACCTCAGCTTCCCGTTCACTCAAAGGCTAGGACAATTATAGAATGGTTTAATAGCTCTGCTCGAGGAGAATTTGCATTATCTAGGGGACGTTTTTGATTTATTTTTAAACCAAGGCCTTTCAAGTTCAAACTGAAAGCAATCTTTATACACAGCAGGTTTAACTAATTCACAGAAATTATGGGTCATGCCCGGTGTAATATAATTTATTGGTTGTCTTTGTTTTATGGACTATTGTTAGGGTAGGTTCATCGTTAATTTAAGGATGTTTTGTTGTCTTTGTTTTACGTCAGCTATGAGTAATACGAAGATGAGCCGAAAGTATTACATTTGTGTTATGTAATGATCTGACAACTTTGGCACATGTGCAGTAACGGGATACTGTTTCCTTTAGAATGGAAAGTATCTCAAAATAGATATCGACGTGTTTCTTTTGTTAAGTTGTATAGACGCGTGATATGTAATCAGATTCTCTGTCTGTTTTGTTCGTGCTTTAACTAAGGAGAGAATGATTCGTATATGCTTGCTTCCTTATAAAGCTTTTTTAAACGGTTATCCAGCCACAGTCCGAGAGAGAGTCACAGCCGCTCTCGCACGAGAAATCTTCACTGTCCGTAACACTGCACATCTCCCACGAAGAGTCCTCACTGGGTGTCTCGCTCCACTGTCCACTGTCAGACACCTCTGTAAACTGTTCCTCGCCGAGACAATCATCACACCATTCAGTTTCGCGACGAGACAAAACGATATCGTTACCATCGGGATCATGTGTCAGCCACGTATTGTTCCCGTATGGCGTCAAAATTAGGTTGAGCCTCTCTTTAATGTCGAGAATGTAAGGTACATTAAACTTAAGCAGGCTTTGCTTTGGCGGATAAGGCTGCAAACAAGGCGAGTACTTCAAAGAAAGCTTTATATCTAGCCCAGGCTGAGAATAAAGATCAAATGTGCAGAATCCTGGTTTGCATGCACTTGGTTCAGTTCCTGTTAGCACACTGTAAAATTCTTTCATTTCTTTAAAATCTCTCACGAAAATATTAAATCTCAGTTGCTCGTTTCCGTAGTGAACTGAGCAAACGGTCCAGAGAGGGAGGTCTGGGGAAGACTCGTAATAATCTTGCCGAGCAACAGAGCGCAAGGTTGTGCGGCTGGCCAGTTCGATCTTATGGTGGAAAACCCAAGGAGGGCATTCTAAGTAGTCTTTTGCAAATCGAGCGTTGAGTTGATACTTTGTCTCCTCGCGTAAAAACAACACAACGCTCAGCGACTGAGTGGTTAAATGCTCACTGGTGTACGTGTCTTCCGTTATATTTGTCAGGTGATCATGTTCGTGCGACAAAACAACGGCACCTTTGTGCTGTTGGTAGATTTGAATCAGCTGGAATGCGGGGTCGATCCATTGTAGCAAGGGGCTGTAGAGTGATTTCAATTTCTGTTCCTGCTCATAAGGGATCCTTATCTCTAGGGTGCACATATAAGGGTTCTTTTCTCGAAAATCCGTGCAAGGCCCAGCTTGAAACAGTGGTTTGTAAAGAGGTTCCTGCTCAAAATTTTCATCATCATCGTACCAAGGCATGCTGTGTGCTCCTGATAGTGAGCTGAGAAAAAAAAAAAAAGAAAATATCAAACTCTAGATCTGTGGTTACCTTGATCTGAACTATATTTGATTTTGAAATTTTGAGTTCCATATATGAAATAGTAAGTCAGTAATAATTAAGAGTCTGAATATACTATCTATATGAAAGTCTTAATTAAGATCAATATTACCGACCTTCCGACCCCGACCAGGAATGCGAGGTAGAAAATAAACGGGATTTTTTTTTTAACCACGCCAAGTTGGTATCAAAAAATTTGTTCTTCAATTCACAGAATACAAATCGCCGTAGAATGGACAAAAACACTGCTAGTTCTACGTCATACTGTATTCAAATAGTTTTTATATATAAATGATATAGATATAACGAAAGATTTCTGACTAGCCCAATACACTTCTGCATACTTGACTTACCCATGAAGGGTATGAAAATAATCAAGCGCAGGAATTCTAATAATCCAGCTAACGAGTCGCTGATATAAATGGACTAAAACGAACACAACACCGAGGTAGGTTGCAATAAGAACTTTTAATCACTAAAGTTCATTTGTAATCATACCGAGATAAAAAGTTAAGTAATCAATGAAAAGACATTAAAAATCTTAGTTAAGGTGCTTTTTAGTCCACGACGAGAGCTTAAAGAGGCCAAAAATTGTTATATTCGTTCAGGTATCAGCCAGAGATATTTTAGCGGTAGCCAATAATCCTACAACTGAGCTTAATACAACGAACGGATTTCCGTTTCTTATACTACCTATATTTAATTTCAAATTTAATCTGAGAGCTACAGTCCTTGTCCTCACCTCGTCTAGACTATTTTTTTTTCCGGAGAGTATATTTCTAAAGAAAACTTTGCCTTTATTGTTTTGAATATTTATATTAACTAAAGCGGTTGAACCCTGAGAAAGATCGCTCAAATCAGCTGCTAACTGCGCAAAAAAAGATTACAAATTCTTCTTTTTTTTTTGGTCTTTAGAACACGTGTCTTTTAGCGCGCTTTAAACAACAAGGCCCAATATTTGCAAACTAAATATATTTTCCATGGTTATTTTAAGTAACATTTTGCAATTTCTGACTTTTCAGAAATGAAAAGAAAGCCATTGTTTGCTGTAAAAGCGATTTTATTTTAATACGGTTTTCGTCCATCTGATTTTTACGTCGTCGGTAATATCATAATTCACTGACTAGCCAATGGGATGACGTGATTTTAATAATGATTGTTTTTACCCATGATGTGGTTTGTCAGTTTATGCTTGTGTTACAAAGCCATTAACACCACAGAATCAACATAAAGACACGAAACAGACTTCCTCTTACAAGGCGTCTTTGGCAGGAGTTTGAACACTGTTAGAGAGTTATCTAAAGGTAATAAGAACTGACTGACTTAGATTTTCAGGTGTTTCAAAGAGGACAAAGAACCCCAGAAAATTAATGTGCAAATTAGGCAATGATACATTTAATATGCGAAAAAGTGTCTGGTGAACTTAAAGTACAATGTACCATATAAAACAGGCTTATTAAAAAGAACGCCATAGTTGAGGAAACTTTAAATGAGTGGAAATTGATCGATATCAGCGGTACTTAGTGAAGGCCAAAGAGTCTGAATTGCTGTAAAACAGCCTGGAGTATGGCAGCATGCTTAAGAAAGGCGATATATAAGTAAGCTAATGGTTACCATAGAGTTTTGATTTTGTTTTAACCATACTTTTTCCATCTTGCTGAAGGCGAGATAACAAGGATAAATTAAATGGATAAATTTCAGATTACCCTCTTAAATTAGAAAGTGTTACAAGTGAGGTGTGAAATTTTAGCGTTTTTACTCACCAGCAAGGAACAGATGAACGGAATAGATCTAAATGTCCACTTAGTTATGCTCAACGCAGTTACCGAGAATCTTTTTTTTTTCTTAGTCTATATATCTGATCGCAGTATCTTTAACAACTCCAAAGTAGATGTGACTCTGCTTTCCGCTCCACAGATTCACCCACATAAATCTGCTAAAATGTGCCACGCTCGGTAAACATTTGGACTTAAAGCAACTTTGATAGCCTTCCAAGAACAGGAAGTTCCACAATTTAGCATCCTTAACCACAACTAAACGGAAAACATTAATATCCTCACGCAACTAATCCAACTGCCATCTCCACCCTTTAACAATTTCCTGAGAGACTTCAACAAGGAAATTTAACCTAAATATTGAATAAGGCTTACCGTGGGATGACAATGGAGAGCTTTTAAACTGATAATTTTGTAAGCTTCATTTAAAATTTGACAAGTTTATCTGACGAGCAATTGTCTTAATGAAGAGGGTTTAACCCACTATGCATTACGCAAGTGTTTATACAAGTCACGAAAACTTTATTATTTGGATTATCAATTCCAGACTTTTTCGTCTTCGATGACCCATAAAGGTCGGTTGCTCTGCACACGAAGACGTCAGAACTGTCCAACAACTCATGTGCATTATATTCGTCAGTTCAAGAGGGCGTGTTCGAACCTTGGCAAGCGCAATTTGATTACAAGAACCCAAGGGGGGTCATAAACGTAAATTCCAGAACAAAAAACGTGCATTCAAATGTTCCATGCATATGCAAACTTTTTCAAGTAAAAAATGTCATTTTCTGTTTACACAATCTGCACGTACAAACAAACATCTATGCACGAAAGTATTAATCGCTCAATACTTACATAATAAGCCTATCTTTTTAACGAAAAGTAGGTTAACAAAAGACTTCAAGTATTTAATTCAACCGGTTTATATGGTATTCGTTCCTATTTGAGAGCATAAGCAGCCACTTCGCCGTTGGCCGCGAGAACGTGTTAACGGCCTTGTGTCGCTTCAGATCACTCTTTGTTTTTCTCGAAAAACAAACTGATCCCTGCGCATACCCGAAAACAAACAAAAAAATTGCCAAAGATTGCTCACAACATTTTGTCACTAAGCTTAACTAACAGGCGCCTAACCAATCGGTTAATGTAGAAAACGGTTGACTCAACAACTGGCACTGCATATATATCTATCGACGAAATTAAAAGTCATGGCCTATAAGGAAACGGAGATTACTAAACTTTAGGTATGTAATAGTAAGTCTATAAGAAAAACCTTTTTATTTTCTTACCGGACGAACTGACGATCTCAAGATGTGATTCCGTCGAGGACGCGTAATCCAAAATAGTATCTTATAAGACAAGAATCGCCGAATTGTGATAAACTGTAGTGATCAGTTCTAGGGTCAAGGAATTCAAAGAAAAATTACTAAAAATAAAAAAATAAGAGCTGGATGATGTTTCAATAATTCACGTACACGTATATCCTGCTTAAGAGATAAGGACGCAAGGAAAGACACGTTTTAAGACGAAATGATGGGATCGATTAATGGCTCGTGGCAGATTAAGGTCAGATAATGAAAAAGGGAGCTTAAAATAGGGGCCTTACAAAACTTCGACTGAGACGGCAACCAGAACGAACAATACGATCTAATAGGTTAAGAGAGAAAACAACAACTTTGTACGTGAGCAAGCTTTTTTTTTCTTTTTATTTCGTTGCCGTTCCTCCACGACTACGACATGAAATGACCGAATTTTAAGTCTGAGGAAGTAAACGGCAAGGCGGAAATATTTACTATGTCTTTCTGAGCTCCGACGCGGCCCTCTCATATTAACGTAGCCCAGACTTAACTTCCCGACTTTCAAATGGCTGAACAACTTGAAATAGTGGTGAGAAAGTTCAAGGACTCGAAGAGACAGTATTTCTGAGGAACGTTTTCAAGGACATCGCCGTTGTCGGATCGTAAGTAACGACATAAAAACAAAGTAACATCCCTGCACGTGCATCACACTTTTTCGTACATCACTGCACTAATATGACGTGATGAATGTCCTTAAAAGGACAATTGATGGAAGACGTAAACACACAAGTAACGTTTTATTATTTCTAAACTTGGATTCGTGCCATACGCTTCTTAAGGAATTCGTCTGCGTGAAGCTTTTCGCGTACATTTGCCAAATTAAGCGAGCTTGAATAAGAACAAAAAAAAGTTTGAAAGAACGTGTTTTCTTTTAATAAGTGACATTTTTGAAGTGACGCAGTCGAAGGTTCTTTTCAAACTCTGGCACTGAAGCCTGAGGCAAAATCTCTCCCTCCCCTCCCCTGGCCTTGAGCTTTACACCAATAAAGTTCTAGATCCTCTCATGGTACGTTCCCATGGTGATAAAGAGTTTTGAGTTAACCTTATCTCGGTTTGCGACGCCATCTTGAAGGGGAGGCAAGCAGGCGTGAAATAACACTCTAAGAATCCGACGCCGAATAATAATTATTAAAAATGGTGAAAGGTCCTTCGCAAACTTAGCTCAGTACAGCTGTCAGTAGATGCGATACCAGGTCTCTGCTCCACGTTACATGAAGTTAAGGCTTCGCGCGACTCATCAATTTCAAATAATGCTTCTTTTGCAAAACACTTCGATCTACTCTCCAGCAAGTTTCTCTAGGTTGTATACGACGTAAGACAAACTTATTTTAAAAGAGAAAGTGACACAGGTACACCAACCCACGGCTTGGCCAGTACCTACCCGTAACGCATGCCAACAGCATATCAACTAGTGGCAGCCACTTGGACAACAACTGCAATCTTTAGCTCCGACATCCGGAAGTATGCCTACGGGGCTGCTCGACAACTTAAACCACTAACCAAGCAATACCATTCAGAGTTGTTGAAAATGATGAAGACATACACATATATAAAGCCTTGTCCCGGGGGGGGAGGGACTCTGCATATGAAAGGGGTGGGGATGCTCGTCGGAAATTTTGAATTAAACTCCTTAAAGAGACCAACTTGGGCGTCGCCCAACCCTTTTTTGACCCTAAAAGAGATCATTTTAAACTTTCATTACATGAATCGAGTAAATAAAACGATTTGAAAATAAGTAATTTTTTAATATTTCTTCGAGTGCAACCCTAAAAGAGACCTCTACGGCTAAATATA